AGTCTGACGCCCTCGAGTTCACGAGGTGTGGCCTTGCATAGGAGGCTCAGCGACTCCGAGCCTCAGTTTCCTCATCCGGGAAATGGGTCCCTTCCTCCGAGGTCGTGTCTGTGAGCGTTTGGCTCGGCGCCTGCCACGTGGCAGAAGCTCCGTTAAACACCTGCCAGGCTGCGAGCCCCTGCCTTCTCTGCCACACCTCAGCTGCCATGGGAGTTTTCAGCATCACCAGCCACAAGATCAACGCTGCCTCTTCATGCACCAAGTCACGTCCCTGCATGAACCCATTTCATCTTCCTGTCAACTGTGGGCAGGTGGCACGGTTACTGCCCCAGAGAGAGGGGCCCCCAGCTCTCAGGACGTCTCCAGGCCCCTCCCCTGGCTGCACACCTTCTCCCAGGGTGAGCGAGAGTCCTGCAAGGGCCAAGGAGAGGCACACACAGGGCCGGCATGCTCCAGGACACCAGCCCCAAAGGGCCCCTGTCGGCCTCTCTCCCATCCATCCACCTGAGGGCGGAGAGGCCCATGGCCTGCAGCAGGCCCAAGGTGGACGAGAGGGCTCTTTGAGGGGCTGCGGGTGTGGCTGAGCTGGAATGGGAGGTCGGGATGTCCACACAGGTCGCCAGCGAAGCTGCTCAAGGGCGAGGGTGGAGCCAGGGGTAGCGGGAGGGGACGGGCAGCGGCCACGGCCGCAGGCGGAGGGTGGGTCCTCCCCTGCCCCCACTTGCGGGGTAGAATTTTCACTCCAACCTGGCCCCTGGCTCACCCTGACAAAACAGCTGCCGAGGCAAGAGAGCGGGCTGGCCTTCAGTCCGCGGCTCGGTAGCCCGGCCGGTAGCTTGTCAGCATCAGGACAGATGCTTGCGGGCCTCTGCCGGTGCGAGGGACCGCCTGGTGTCATCTGGGTCTGCTCGGCTCCTGACCCTCGAGGACAGCACATTCGTCAAGTCGAGGGATGTCCTGGGCCCGAGGCTTTCCTGGGGCTTCCCAGGTGGCGCTAGGGCTAAAGGACCCGGCTGCATTGTAGGAGATGCAGGAGACGTGGGTTCCATCTCTAGGTCGGGAAGATTCCCTGCAGGAGGGCATGCCAAGCCACTCCAGTATACTTGCCTAGAGAATCCCACGGACAGAGGAGCCTGGCAGGCTACAGTCCATGGGGGTCACAAAGAGTCGGACGCGACTGAAGCGACTTGGCACACAAGGCCTTCTGTACACAGGTGGTGAAGACCAGGCTTAAAAGCAGCAAACGGCGTCCAAGCACGAGCGATGATGACACTGCTGCAGCCCAGGCTCAGGGCCCACGTGGCAGCCCCTGCCGCCCTCTCTGCCTCGGGCTCCCCACTTGCACGGGGAGGCGCCGGCTTCTCTCCTCCTGCACGGCCTGGCTAGGACCCTCCTGGGTAACCCGGGCCTGTGTCCCCCTCCCACCCGCCAAAACGAGCCTCTCACGCCCAGTCAGGCGCCTGAGATCTGACCGATAACCTCCTTTCTCACCGTCCTCCACACGGTCTGCTCACTCGCTCATGCCAGCTGGTTTTGTCGTCTTGGCAAGGAACGATCTGAATGATGGAATCATCATAAGGACTCACCTTGACCTTGACCTTCACAGTAACCCTGGGAGGGGCTCCAGTGCCATTCTCACTTTACAGATGGAGAAAAGCGCGGCTGTCAGTCGCTCAGTCGTGTCCGACTCTCTGCGACCCCATGGACTGTAGCCCACCAGGACCCTCCATCCATGGCATCCCTTCTCCAGGGGATCTTCCCGGCCCAGGGACTGAAGCCGGGTCTCCTGCATTGCAGGCAGATTCTTCACCATCTGAGCCACCGGGGAGAAACTGAGGCTCAGTTTGGGACTGGTCCTTTGCCTAAGGTCACAGCTGGTAAGGAGCAGAGCCTATAACTGAACACACATCTCTCTGAACCCCAGAGCCCACACGCCTGCCCTCTGGCCGGAAACCACAGAGGAGGGGGCCTTCTCAGCACTGCTGTGTGTCCTGGGACAAGCCGCTTGCCCTCTCTGAGCCTCCATCTCCCCAGAGAAGTGGCCACAGAGGGCGCCTGGGGTCACCGAGAGCTGACGGGTTCTGAGATTCCAGGAGTGGAGCTGGGGCGGCCGGCACGCCGGGGCCCACCCTGGCTGGCTCAGACGACCGGTCCTGAGGACCCAATCAGGACAGCCTTGGATCAGGCCATAAGTGGGAACAAAACAGTCAGGGAGCTTGCCTCCTTGGCTTTGTTTATTGTCTGGGAGCTGGGAATATTTTGAATTGTTGTGTTTGGGGAGGGAGGGAAAAATAACCAAATATAAGAAGGCAGTCAGTGAGCGGCCCAGGCAGGAATGCAGAGGAATTAGGCCTGCCTGGGTATGTCTGGGAGACGGGGATGCTACCAGAGGCCCAGCACCCTCTGTGGCAAGAATTCTCCACTCCGACGAGACGTCCAGATTGCCTGGACAACATCAGTTTGAAGAAAAGTGTTGTTTCCAATTAAATTAGGATTTTGGAAGATGGGAGCCAGACAGGAAGGTTTTTAAGCTTCCTGGGTGAATTGGGAGGATGGGCACGGAGGCTGAGAGCCAGGGCCGCCCACAGCACCGCCCGTCCGAGGGCCGGGGGGTCATGATGGCCGGCCTGGCCCGGAATTCCAGCTTCGGGAGGGCTGGGCGGGGCCTGGGACTGGGCATTCCTCACAAGCTCCTGGGCACTGCTCCTGGTCTAGCGGGGGTGGGGGGGGTCACCCTTTGGAAGTCTCCCCACTGTACTCATGACTCAAAGCGTGGTCTGGGGAGCAGCAGCATGTGGGTGCATCAGAAATTCAGAACCTCGCCCCGCTAGCGAGTCTGCCTGTGAACTGTGTGCACGCCGCAGTTGAGGGGCTGACCAAGGTCACCGTGGCTAGCCCATGGTGCTGCAGATGGGGAAACTGAGGCATGGAGAAGCAGAGCCATTGAGGATCCCTCGGGGGCTTGGATCCAGGTCTCTCCAGGGAGGGTCTCCCGTGCAGGTTGACTGCAGAGTCTTCAAGACGGGTGCAGCGAGAGTCTTTAGCCCCAGCTCCACAAACGGTCAGTTTTCAGCTTGTGGACCCGAACGTGTGGAAGGGTGGCCTGCACAGGGGTGACAGGGCATCTGGGGGTGGCTCCACCCCATTCGTTCGCTCAGCAGAGGACTGGGGACACACCCCGAGGGCCGGGCCCTGCTCTAGGCCTGAGACCCAGCGGACTCGGCTCCGCCATGAGAAGCGGGCAGCCTAGACGTGGAAGCGGATACGAGCAGATGGACATAAAAGACATGGGGGGCACCAACACGGTTCTCCAAGTCAGGGTGGACACGTGACCCGGTCTAGAGGGAGGAGATGCTGGCCTAAAGGACGGGAAGGAGCCAGCCTGCGGAGGGCTGGAGGCAGAGCCCTCTGCGAGGAGGAGCAGCCGGCAAAGACCCTGAGCGAAGGAGCTTGGGGTTTGCAGGAGGCCTGGAGGGCTGTGTGGCTGGAGGGGCAGGAAGAGGCGCAAGACGGAGCTGGGGGTCTCAGAGGCCGCGGAGAGTGTGGTGCAGGGCCAGCGGGCCACGCGTGGGCTGCTTTGAGGGAGGAGGAACTCACTGCATCAGTGGCTTTGACTTCTGATTTTAAAAAAAATACTTAGTTCAGTTCAGTGGCTCCGTCGTGTCTGACTCTTTGCAACCCCATGGACTGCAGCACGCCAGGCCTCCCTGTCCATCACCAACTCGCGGAGTTCACTCAAACTCATGTCCAGGGAGTTGGTGAACTTATCTGCTCATTATTTATCTGTGACTGTGCTGGGTCCTCACTGCAGCGCAGGCGCGTCTCTGGTTGCGGCGCCCGGGTTTAGGGTGTGCGGCCTTCAGGACTCGCGGCTCGCGCGCCCCAGGGCACACCCTCAACAGCTGTGGTGCCCGGGCTCTGTGGCTCTGCTGCTCCTGGGATCTTCCCGGATCGGGGATCAAACCGGTGTCTCCTGCATCGGCGAGCGCAATTCTTCACCACCGAGCCACCAGGGAAGCCCTTCTTTTTGATTTTTATTGCAATAATCATCGCACCGAGGGATAAGTTCAGATGCTACGTGTACAGCATGGGTGTCTGCGGAGGTATATGCCCCTCGGGGTCGGGGTGGGGGTGCATCACCAGATCGGGAAAGGGCAGCCTTCCTGGGCTGGAACCCAGGAGGTGGTCTTTCTGGTCGCCCCGTCCCACACCCCAGGGGCCCCCATGGCTCCTATTTCCCGGACCACAGATCCACAGCGCTGACCTAGAGTCCATATACATGGCCATTTAAACGGTGGTCCGTGGTGCCCGGTGTTTCTGCGGCGCCCCCTCTAGTTTGGGGGATGTCCGGAGTGCTCCAGGCGGTGGTCCGTTTCGCATCCTCCTGCGCGTGTCCCAGCCTGCGGCTCTCTCGGGAATAACGCTGCCGTTCACACACTTGTACAGTCCTGTGCAGACCTCTGTTTTCCTCTCTCTGCGGTCAGCGATGAGCCACAGGACTGCTGGCAGTTCAGTTAAATGGATGTTTCACCTTCGGAGACATCGCTGAACTGTTCTCCGCAGCCTCTGTGGCATTCCTGCTCCCCACTTCGCGGGGAGGGGAGTCCCAGACCCTTCAGGCTGCTGAGGCTGAGTGGAGAAGGGCTGGGCAGGAGGGGGATCGGGGAGGAAGCCTGAAGTCACCAGCAGTGGGGGAAAGGGTGCCTTGGATGCCTGCCACCCACAGCCCACAGCAAGGGCTTCCCGGGATGTGCCAGGCGCTGCTGGGCACCTCTGCCTTCCTTTGGGTGCTCCCAGTCTGGCTGAGATCCTGGTGGCGGGGAGGGCAAAGGGCAAAGCGCTCTGGGGGAAGGAACAGCAGGGGGCAGGGAACTGCTCGCGCGAAGTCCAGGCCGCAGAGAGGCCCGGAGCAGGCCGGCGGGAGAGGGTGGGCGAGCGTCTGATTAACACAGGCTGGGCTGCGCGCCATCAGCGCCCTGCACGCCCAGGTCCTCACTTACTCTTCAGCACAATCAGGCACAGGGTTCTGCCCAGGCTGCTCCGACAGATCAGGAAGCCGAAGCAGAGAGCGGGGACACGATTCCCTCGGGGCCCCGCAGCCCGAGAGACGGAGCTGGGGCCTGACCGCAGGCCGGAGGGGGGCGGGCGGGCGGGAAGCCAGTTCCCGAGGCTGCGATGCGCTGAGGAAGCCTCTGTGGTGCCACCGTCTGTCCGTCCACATCCAGAGACGTGGACACGGCTGTGCCTGGGACAGAGGGACCAGGTCGGGGGCCGCCCGGCCGCTTCCCCACTGTCCCTTCCTCTCCTCCAGGAATGAGGGGCACGGCAGCCCGCCACACGACCCCTCGCGCTGGCCTGATGGCCCAGCATGGCTGGAGTGTCTCAACAACTCGGCCTGACACACGGATGAGACGGACCATTCCCCAGCCAGGGACGAAGGGTTTTGTTCAAAGCCCTGGATCGATTTGGCCTTATTATTGCCAGCTGCTGAGAGTCAAGCATCGGAGAGCAGCCTTTTCAAAACCTCATCCAGTCCCTCGGAGGCCAGGGCCTTCCGTGAGCTCTCCCCAGGCGATTTCCGTTCCTGGAATGGGAACTTAGTCCCCAGGGAATTTCAGGCCAGAATGGGGCTTCCGAAGGAAACCTCTGCCCGGGTTTCCTTGAAGGTCCCTCGTCCTGCCAGTGCGTCCGCTTCCTTGGTGCTCACAGCCTCATCCCAGGGCCTCAGCCACCCCGGACGCCCCGGTCTCACACTCAGCCCTCTGCAGGGAACCGCCCCCCCCGGGGAGCCACACCTCCCCCTTCTGAGCTCCAAGCAACCTTAGATAAGGGGCCCAAGGTGGTTCCATCTTGCCACCTTTTCCAAAGAAGGCAGACATTCCGGTTTGTAAAACTCTTGCAACTTTTCGTTCACAGCGATTAACTCAAAATATTTTAAAGTCCAGTGGATGCCAAGTCAATGCAGACCACCCACCCCCCACCCAAGTCTGAGACCTGTCGTCACAATGGTTCAATGAGGCCAGACTCTGATCATTGACTCAGGCCCAGACAGCAGGCCCAAGGCCCAAGGCCCACAGAATGTGGTGGGGGGCGGGGGGGGGATCCTGAGGGGTGGACCCTGGGGGTCTCCAGGCTCTGGGTGGCTTTGCTTCGCCCTGGGTGGAGGTTGGAGCACTTCCCATCACCTTTCCGCCTCCCCTCCCCTCCCCCACCCCTTCGTGCTCCCCTCCCCCCTTCCTGCTCCCCTCCCCCACCCCTCCCCCTCTCCTGCCCTCTGGGGCTGGGTTCATGTCCCCAGCCAGTAAAACTGCCCCCACCCCTCCCCCCGCAAACCTTTCAGTTAAGAGTGTGGTCTCTGGAACTAGGTGGCCTGGGTTTGAATTCCAGCACTACCACCAACCCCCTGGGCAAGTGACTTCACTTCTCCGTGGCTCAGTTTTCCTTTCTGTAAAATGGGGGCTATCACAAGGGCCACCCTCAGTGTGGTCTCGAGGGTTTGGCAAGTTAAGGTGGTTAAACGCATCTACAGTGCCCAGTGGCAGTGGGGCTCAGTGCCATTCCAGGGCTCCTTAGATAAATGCACCCGCTGTGTGCCAGGCCCAGGGCTGGACCGAGGCACACAGGACAAGGTCCTGTCCCTCGGGGAGCGGGTGGGCCAGAGGGAGACAGCAGGCGGTTGAAAGGGCCCCATCCGCGGTCCGGTGCCTCCACGGGGTGAGCCACACTGACCCGCGCAGAGGTCAGCTGTCCCAACAGCCTTTCCAAACCGAAGCCCGGGACAGGCCACTCCCCACCTCAGCGCCAGTGGCCCCCAGCCACACTCACTGGCCCAGTCCAAGCCTCCTTGCAGCTCAAACCTCAACGCCACAGTCACTTCCCCGCAGGGTGACCTGCTGCTCCGCACTGCAGGGAGGTTCTGTGGGGTGTCTGCTCCCTCCTTCAGCTCAGGGACAGCCCCATGTGCCTCAGGAGGGCAGCGGGGTGGGGACTCAGCCTCCCAGCCTCGGGGCTTTGATCTCCTCACCTGTAAAAGGGGTGCACGTGCTCTGAACTCAAAGGAGAGAGCTGAGGGGGCCGAGAGTGGGCGCCACCCGGGGCGGCTGCCATGCTGCAGGCTCTGCCAGTCCCTGGGGGCTTCCTGGAGGAAGGGGCACCTGGGTCAGCAGAGGGGGTCAGGCAAGGCCTGGAGAAAGGCGTGGGAAGGCAGGGGCCAGGGGCTGGCTGGGCTGGAGCTGGGGGATGGGAGGCAGCCTCTAGAAAGTCAAGATGGACAGCAGGGGCCTCAAAGAGCAGACTGGGGAGAGGTGAAGGGTCACTCCCACCGTCTGCCTCCTGGAGGGCACTCCAGAGCGCTTCCAGGCGCTGGATTCAAGCTGGGCCAGGTCTGGCATCCAGGGTGGCTCTCTGCGGAGGGCCCCTGTTTGGTATATCTTCTCTCAACCTCAGTCTAAAAGGTTCTCTGCACACAGCCGCCCAGCTGCAGAGGGGCCTGAGAGAAGGTGAAAGGTCAGCGCTGGGCTCAGAGAGGGGAAGGGCGTGCTGGAAGCCACACAGCGTGTCCCTCAGGCCGGCACGTGGTCTCTGCAGTGGCACATTCCCCATTTTCATTTAAAAATAGACACTTGCTTGGCACTTCAGCGCCGGGGAGCTGCTGTTCTGAGCTGTCTGCACTCTTCACCCCGGGTCTTCCTCACGGCCAGGGAAGATGAGTCCCCGTCCCTCTTCTCCGCGTTTCCATTTGAGAGTTAAGGGAGGGGGCCCGAGCAGTGCCCTAAGGTCACGGAGCAGGGGCAAAGCCCAGAAGCCAGGGCGCTCTGTCCCAGGGTCACCCTGACGCCCCCGGCGAGGAGGTGGGGAGGGCAAAGTGGCCGCGCAGGGGTTTTACTGGGGGGCGGGGGGCATCCAGAGGCTCAGAGAACTTGGGACGAGGGCAGAGGCGCGGTTTGCACCCGACCGCTCGGGGAGCCCAGGCCGCAACCCCTGAGCCAGGTGGAGGGCTAGCTGCGGGCTTGGTGGCTCGAGCTGGGTTGGGCTCTCTCGCTCCCCGACTGAAGACCGGAGGGGGGCGTCTTCAGCCCCCGCACCCGCACCCCGCGCCCCGCCCTCCTTGGCGCCAGGCGGTAACTGGGTGCCTCGAAAGGCGCGCGCCACTGCGGGGAGCGGGGGACCGAGCGCTCGCCCGCCTCACGAGGCTGTGCGCGCGCGCGCGCTCGGCGAGCCCGGGGCCCTTTGTGTCCGAGCCCGAGGGCGCGTGCGTGTGCGGTGTGTGCCTGTGCGAGCGTGCGTGCGTGCGTGTGTGTGTGTGTGTGTGTGTGTGTGTGAGAGAGAGGGAGAGGGTTTGAGCGCGCGTGTGTCCCCCGTGGGGGCGTGGCTGGCGCTCCAGACCCGCCCTGGGCCCGCCCCCGGGCCCCGCCCCCGGCCCGGCCAAGCTGGTATTTTTCCACCCAGCAGGATGGGTGATGCTGAGAGCTGCCTGCTCAGACAACAGACACGCGAGGTCAGGAAGAAGCCGCTTATAAATTACTGCTTCCTCCGCGCCGCCGCCAGCGCCGAGCTCTGGGTCCTGGCCGCAGCCCGGCTCGCTGGTCAGCGCCGAGCCCCGAGGACCGCGAGCTCCGAGGCTGGGCCCCGCCGAGAGGGAACCCGAAGCGCAGACCCCGCGGGCCAGATATCGCACCGGCGGGCAGTCCCTCGGCGCGCGGAACGGAGCGCGGCCGAGCGCAGCGCCGTGGCCGCCCCAGGTACCGAGGGAGACGGAGCCGGGCGCGCGGAGCCCCCGCCTAGTCCCCGCGTCCCCCGCCAGCCCCGACCCTTCTCCCCGCCCCGGGGGGCTCCCAGTTCCACCAAGGGCGGGATGGAGGGTCGTCCGCTCGTCCCCCAGCGGGGCTGTTATTGTTTACCCGGCGAAAGGGCTGGGGCGTCTGGAGCAAGGATCCAGGTGTGTGTGTGTGTGTGTTTTCCGGTGTCTCCATCTCGCCGAGGGTCTGCAGACATCTCCGTGTCCCCGAGTGTGTCTGCTGTTCTGCGCTCTGGGCGGTGCGTGTGAGCGTTCTGGTGTGTGTCTGTGATACCTGTGTGGCCGAGTCTTGGGAGGCGTGCCCTTGTGCCCCCTGGAGTGCGTCTGTGTGAACTTGTGTGTGTGTGTGTGTGTGTGTGTGTGTGTGAGTGACTGTATCTCCCACTACCTGGCTGTGCACGTGTGTGTCCCCAAGTGGGGCTTCTGTCTCTGGCTCCCCGTTGCGGACACGCGCGTGTCCTCGACTGTACCTGAGCGAGTGTCCCCGGGTGCCTAGAGGACCAAGCCCCCAGAGCTGGTTCTCCAGGGCAGGGCCGAGAGGGTGCAGGTGACTGGGCGGCGCAGCTCCGCGGGTGCGGCGGGCAGGTGGCAGTGCCAACATCCAGCCACCTGGAGCGGCAGGATGGAGGCCCCCAGGGACAGCCGGGAGCCGGGTGGACAGCGGGCAGAGACAGCGGGACACATCCTTCTCGAGATGTCTCCCTTCCTGCTGGGGGTTCCTCTTTTGCGCTGGAGGCTCTGGTCCCCCTCCCACCGGGGGAAGTCAGAGAGAGACTCTCAGGGGCCTCCGCCGTCGGCCGAGGCTTCGTCCTGGACCTGAGGGGAACCTGTGGGCTGCCCTCCCGGGCACTCGGAGGGAGGTGTGTGCTGGGCCGGGCTATTTTGGTCACTGCTCGGGCTCTGCCAGCTCCTGGCCTCCCCCAGGACCAGCCCCAGAGGCTTGGGAGGCAGCCCTGGCCCCCGTTTCCTGCCTGGGGAAATAAATCAGCTCAGTAACTGCCCGGACACTTGAACAGAGGGTCTTGGGGCTGAGGTTGAGTGGTGTGCAGCTCCACTTGGCCTTGGGAGAATCGGCCCCTGCTTTGGCACTGATGCCATTCAAATAAATGTCATGGGGGAGATCTTTTTTTAATTTCTTTTTAATTTTTTTTTGGCTGGAAAGGAGGGGAATCTCATCCAGAGACTCCCAGCCAGAAGGAGTTTATTTTTATGAGAGCGAGCGGGTGGTGAGCGCTTAGCAACCGCCTGCCTCCCTCTCGACCAGGGAGGCATCCGGGGAGCGTGGGGTGGGCACACGGCGAGCGGTGAGCTGTGGGGGTGCAGTGGGGAAAGAATTCCATCAGAATGGCGTGGAGGAGCTGGCGGGCCCTGGCGGAGAACCCCCCATAGGGTAGGAGTGGGGAACTGGCTAGGGGTCTTGGGCCTGGCTCAGCATCCCCTGCCCCCATTGACCTTGGGCAGCCTTTTTTGGGGGCCTCAGTTTCCTCATCTGTAAAATGGGTGGAGTAAACTGGTTAAGGGGTAATTGGAGAATGAGAGGCAGGAGCTTGTCCCCAGGGAGCCCAGTTCAAGGACTGCGCCTCTCTGTATCTTAGCTGGCAGATGACCTTGGGTGATTTCCCCTGTCCACTCTGAACCTCAGCTCCGCAGTCCGGGCAGCAAGGACACCAAGCCAGCCTCACGGCGTCCTTGAGGGGATTGAGGGAGATGAGGCTGAATAAGCCTGTGGTAAGCTGTAAAGCCGGGCTCGGCTTCGGAGCTGCCGATTAGAGGGTGTCACGAGGTCCCAGGTCACTGTGGTGTGTGGCTCGGGCCAAGGTGCAACCTCGGGCTCTTGTCCTCCATGGCTGCCCTTGGACGACCTGTGGCTCAGCTGCGGGCACCCTGCCCTGCCCCATCCTGCCCATCTCACCCTCTGGAGGTCCAGCACCAGCAGTGCAGTCGGAGGCCCCCAGGGAACGGGTAGAGCCCATTTTACAGATGGGCAAACTGAGGGCTGCCCAGAGAACTTGGCCTCGATTGGACAGTGCCAGGGTCAGGCTTCAGAAGCCTGACAAGGCATGAGTTTGGGCCCTGTGGAGCTTTAGCCACAGACGTCCTGCAGAGTTGAAATTGGACCAGCACCTGGGAACACGAGGGACAAAGGTCCTCAGGGCTGGAGGGTGAGTGTGTGGGCCCCCTCGGCACCTTAATTCCGCCCCTGGTTACTCATTCCCCCTTCTCTGTGCCTCTCCGGGGGCCCCTCCTACCCCACTGCCAGCCCCGCTGCTGGCAGTGTAGGCTCTGAGAGTGGTGTTTGCTCACTCTCCACCTATCAGCTTGTCAAGGAATTCGGGACCCTGTCAGGCTTATCTGAGGTTCTTTCCAAAGGTCCCCAAATGATAAGACACTCGCAAGTCACTCAGCACATCCTGAGTACCGGAAGGAGCTGGGAAATAAGTGACAGAGGACACCTGGGGTGCAGCCAGGCTGTAGCTGGGAGGGGTGCGGGTGGGAACCCCGGCTGGCCTTGGAACCCCAGGGTCAGCGGGCGGCTGTGGGCTGCCTCCCGACCTCTGCCAAAGGTCATCAGTGAGGTCTTCAGGGCCATGTCTCGCTCCTCCGTAATGGCCAACTTATCTTGGCCAAAGTGAATTTACAGGTTCTCTAGGGAGGAGCCCTGTGTGCGGAAATTCCCAGTGAGGGGCAGGCAGGGTGGCGGGGGGAGGCGCTGCTTTCAAGTGTGAGTGGGAGCTCTTCTTTTTTTTTTTTTTAAACGTGCCTCGTTTCTTTGCTCTGGTCTGTTCTCACCGGGCCCCAGATTTGGAGTAGAATATTGGCCTTCGAAGAGCTCGCAGCCCAGAGAGAGGGAGCTTGGCAGGATAACCGCCGCTGGTGACCCCGCCGCCCGTGACTGCTGTCCCTGGGTGTGAGATGCCAAGGGTGTAGGCAGGAGACGTTCCAGCTTCTCAGAGGAGGTGATGCTGGAGCTGGCAGAGGGACAGGGCAGGCTGGCATTCCAGGCAGGGGGGGCATAGCGGGCGCAAAGGCACAGACAAGCCTGTTTGTCGAACAAGCCTCGCAGGGGACCCAGCTGGAGAGAGGATAGGAGCCAGGTGGTGGAGCGCTGGGCACATGGGCAGCGGAGATAGAAATAGCGTCAGGCCAGGTTTAGGGGCATCGGCATAGAAGCCGGGTAAACCTGAGGGGGCACGAGACGTGCACGGGGAGTGGGGGACCAGGCTGAGGTCCAGGACCCAGTGGCTGGGCTACTGCCCGCCAGGGCATAGGAGCATTTTCCATGCCAGCGAGTCTTGCCCTGAGCTCTGGCCGTAAACACGGGGTGAGGGCCCGGACATGCTGTTTAACAGGCGCACAGCCCATTAACTGTGCCTCTGACCTCCCCAGAGCAGGTAGCCCTGGGGCCTGAGCCGGAGTACATCCGCCCCGGACAAGGCATGGGGCAGGGCGCCCCTGCCCACCTCACCTGCTCAGAGGCTTCGTTTGGAGACCACGGCTGAGGGGCAGGGGTTGGGGGGCAGGGAGAGAGCAGAGAGGATGGAGATCGCTCTTCTGTCTCTAAAAATTGGCTCGCAGACGAGAAATCACCCAACACAGGCAGGAGAGGGTGTGTGGGCGGGGGGCAGGTCGCCTTAACCGAGTCTGGCAGCAGAGTTTACCTGGGTGGCTTGGTGCACATTCAGGTTCCCAGGCCTGGACATACAGGACCCAAATCCCCAGGGGATGGAGCCTGGGCATCTGTATGTTTCCACGTTTTCAACTGTGACTGTTTAAAAAATATATTAAAATCGAGATATGATTTGCATTCAGTGAAATGCAAAGATCCTGTTACGGTTTGTTGGGTCTGGTCGGATCGCGACACCTGTGTAGCCGCCATTCAGGTCAAGATGCGGAAGGTTTGCAGCCCCCCCGGGACGTGGATTCGTGCCCTCCCGCTCCCAGAGACAACCAGCTTCTGATTTCTGTCCCCGTTAGGCTCACCAGGCCTGGAACTGGGTGGATTTACATGGTGCATACCCTTCCGTGTCTGCCTTCTTTCCGCTTGAGGACTTAAGATCCATCCACGCTGCTGAGGGTGTCAGCGGTTTGTTCCTTTTACGCGGAGGAGTGGACCGCTGGGTGGACACCCCTCGGTTTGCTGTATCCACTCTCCTGTGGATGGACATTTGGCTTGTTTCCAGTTCGGGGTGGTTATGAATGAAGCTTTTATGAGCCCTCCTGTACAAGTCTCTTTGTGGGCGTATATTTTCGTTTCTCTAGGAGTGGAACGGCTGGGGCGTAGGGTAGATATTTGTTAACTTTTTGAGAAACTGTCAAGAGTGGCTTTTAATTACAGAAACAGTAGACCTCAAGCAATACCACACTGTACAAAGTAAAAGTGATTCTTAAAGATCGTTTTTTAAGAAGTGCAGCCTAGGCTTCAGGCTGTGTGTCTGGCTGACCTTCTGCCTCTCATCTCTGCCGTCTACCCCTTCCTATAATAACAATGAGGGCTTTAAGAGTATATATTGTCCTCTGCGTGCGGGTTTGGCTGTACCCCTCAGATATCTAGGTGGACAGATATCTATGGTCCTTTTAATTCCGTTTTAGATCAGTTTTCATTTCAGTTCTGATCTCCCCTTAGACCCAGGGTTCGTTAGGATCTGTTCGGCAAGCTAGCTGCGGTTCTGTTTTGTTGTTAACGACAAGGGCATCATCCTGTTCTCGGTTCTGCCATTTTCGCTATTCAAAGAGCAGACCACTGTGGAGCCGACGCTCATTGGACATACAGGCCTCCCGGCCATTCTGAACAGCTAGTCTGCATTTGGGAGTCATTGGCCGAGCCTGGCATGTCTTATTCACCCCAAGTGCCGCCAGTTCAATGAATGAAATGCCCCCACCGGACGGCTTTGAACTTAGCCTGAGAGTGGTCAGAGAAGCTGCTGAGGGCTGGAACAGATGCTT